AAAAAAAAAAAAAAAAAAAGAATAAAAGAAAGAAAGAGAAGAAAGAAGAGATAATAGAAAGACTCTCCTCCCCCTTCCGCAAGCCCCTCCTGTTTTACCTGACAAACTGGCTGAAGGCCTTGTAGTTGGTGAGGGTTCGATAATCCTCCTCTGAGAACACGTGGTCAATGTCTTCCATGCCCCAGTCTTCCAGGAGCTGAGCAGATGATTTAGGCTCCTGCAGAAAGAGCAAAGTCAAGCACCTGCCACCTAGTGCCCACACCTGCTAAACAAATTTGTACCGAAAAACCAGAGTAACAGAGTTAAAAGGAAAAGAAAAGAAAGTGTTCTAAAGGGCAGTAGGATGTCTAAGAAACAAAAGAACAAAAGTTTAACTGTACAAAGAAGAGGATGCAGGTCCAGGCACCTTTGAATCATCATCATCGTCATCCTCCTCCTCCTCCTCCTTCCGCTTGGATTTGCTCTTCTTCTCTTTCTTAGGTCCAAGCTTCTTCTTCTTCTTCTTACCAGGGGTATAGTCGCTGCCCTCACTGTCTGAGCGCAGAGCCACCTCTTCCTCCTCCTCCACAAACTCTGGCCCCTCCCCAGAGCTGTCCCCCAGCTGCCGGCATAAGAGCATACGCTGGAGCAAGGAAAGGGGGGGAGAGGGAGACAGACACACACATGCTACACACATGCTGACCTCAGGACAGCCCTGAGGCTCATCCCCAGAACCTGGCCCACCACTCCTAAGAAAGAAACAAATGCCCTCAGCCCTTCAACCCTTCTCAGAGCTCCTCCCTTCTTCTTCTGGTTCCCCGTAACATTCAGTCACCCACTCACCTCCTTTTTTTGGCGCTTGCTCTTAGGGATTTTAGGGTCCCGAGGTTTCTTAGGCTTTTTCTTCTTCTTGAGCTTTGGAGTCTCTGTTTCTGACAAATCCTCTTCTGGGTCCTCTTCATTTTCTACATGTATTTGGCAAAGAGTGGTAGGCAGGGAAAAAGATCAATAGCAAAAGGTTAGGCCCTAATCCAGAGGCTTTAGACTTTATTCCCCACCTCTTGTCCCAGATTCCTCTGAAGAGAACTGCTATACTCTGTACAGAAGGAAGCCGATACCCAGGACAAAAACAGACAAAGAGAGAGCTGTATATACCCAAAATAGGCCTGCCAGGCCAGACCAGGCCCACCTCGGGCAGCTGTCCAGACCCCTGCCTCCTCTCTCCCCATTCCTACCAGCAATCCTCTAGATGTTCACCAGCACAGCTGAACTGAGCTGCTTAGAGTTCACCATGTAAGAGAACTAGATTTAGGCCTCCTACAACTGGCCACCAAGTATTCTATAAACTAGGGAATGAGAATGAAAGATCCTACTCAGAAAGCAAAAACTATACAACATATCTTCCCAGAACAGGATCAGTTCAGGGGTCTCGGAAACCACATCCTTCTCCAACCACTTTGAAATCATCACTGCTCAAATTAACCAGAACCTCTAAGTCCTAGGTTCAGGTGCCAGACCAATCTCATGCCCACTCCTAAAATACAATTTCCTTTCCCCATCTCCAACCCTAATGTTCCTCCTCAGCTTCTCCTGGGTCAGCAGCCTCTTCTCCCTAGGGGCCCAAATCAGCCCAGCTGTCACCATCTCCCCCTGCACCCGCCCCCCAGCAATCCTCCTCCCATCTGGCTCCACCTCCTCCCCTGGCTGGAAGCACACACAAAGCCTGGGGTAATACTGAAAGCTCCTGGGCAAGGATAGGTGGGAAGGGGCACACAGAAGGCCAGGAGGCAGCTTCCTTTGTAACAGACATTCACACCAGACTCCCTCCTCCCTCCCCTCTCTCCCTCTTTCCAAGCCACCCCCGCCCAAGTTGGGGGGAGGGTAGAGAAAGGAGTGGAGAGAAGAAGGGAGTGCCTCACCCACTGAGGAGAGGGAAAATGGCTCCTGACCGCAGAAGCCAGTCCAGGGCACCCAGCTGCCAACATAGGACAGACAGGAAGTGGCAGGGGAGGGGGC